CCTCCTCCTCATGATCAGCCATTCTTCCACCGTATATCGCCGTAGGAATCCCCGCGCGCCAAGCGGGGGAAACGCTCCTCCAGATCGACCTCCGGCTCTCTCAGCGGGGAGGTCGGGAGCGTCCACACCTCGAAATCAACAGCATGTGCATTAAGAGGCGGGAGGGCACGGGCCCCGCAGAGACAAATTCCTGGATGTTTTTCTCCGCTCCCTGGCACCCGGAGCCCTCCACGAACCCGGGGGCCATGGTACATGACTGAAGGTGAAAAGCTGGTCGTGGGAGAAGAACTAAGTTTTGGACCCGGTCCCCTCAGGACCTCAATACATGGCGAAGAACGATGGCAATATAGATTGAAGATGAGGCCGTCGAATGTGCAAGAACACGTTTTGAACGTTGCTGGATGCTTCTTTCAAGTGGCCTTCGGGAAGCTTCGGCGGTCTAGAGATTTCTGAATCGGGAGCAAACGAGGCAGAGGAGGCAGAAACGGAAAGCGAACTGAACGAAGCAGGTCATGTTTGAGAGGGCTTTCCGATGGCCAACACATTGCGCTGGCGAGGTTACTGTCAGCAATGCAATATCTTAACACATGCCAGCGCGATCGCCGAATGAAGAGCCCCTTGGCCCCTCAGTAAATCAGCCTCTGTGATTTCTTCTGCACACACACATGCACCAAGCCTCAGAAGCACACAATTACTCGCTGTCTCAAGCACCTGCATTCTGAATCGGACACCACCTGCAGCTCGGAACTACCCCACCACCCCCGAACCCCGTCCTCAGAGGCTTCGGAAAGATCAGCGACCTGGCTACGTGACCCCAAAATATACACCACCTCCAGGCGGCCATAACAAAAGAACAAATCTTGCGCGCGACCGCTCTGACAGGGCTGCCACTGCCTGCCCCCGCCAAGCGCAAGTATTTGCCACGTGACCATGCGCGCAGATGGCGGCCGCATTCGGTCGCGAATAATTGCGTACCCTAAGGCAGAACGGTGGTGGTGTATAGAAACGATGGACCCCCCCCGGGAATTTGATACACCACCCCGAAACATCCACCACGTGAATGTGTTGTTTTTGTTTTCTGCGCATGCAACCGCATGCCCAAATGACGCACACGCGACATGACATTCCCACAAGATTTGACGCACCTTGCAACCACCGCCGAAACAATAATCCGATCAACCCCCATGTCAGAAAACCAGCCCGCGGTGGTGATGTATATGCGTGGGCCCTGGACTGTTATACTTGTGACCCTAGGCAGAGCCATCTCGCCTCGCCTTAAGCTTCAAACGAAAACGGATCGTGCTTTTCGGAAGCTACGTGGGCAACGCACTTACGTATCGTGGCGAACCCAAACAGAGGAAAATTCATGGGAACTAAATGTCCCGCGTCGGAACACCCATCAACTCTCTACCCGGATGGGGTGGCTGGATCATGCGCATGGGCCGTGCTGTTCGCAAATGCCCCGCAATGTTGGCCGTGAGGGAAAACCGTTCGTGCCTCAGTTGTGCTCAGAAGTGCATGGCACGCCCTGGGAACACCCAGGGACCCATGGAAGGACGAAAGGAACCTTGAACATCTGCCCGATTCCAAGGCATGCCCTAATCACCCCAGCAAAACTGACTGCACCTGTTGATCGCCTTGCAGCAAATCGTCTCGTAAACGCATGGTGTGCATTAGTCGTCGTGCCTCCGTCGAGGGCTATGCCCGCCGCTGGTGCCGTGGGCGGTGTGCGTCGGTGCTCGGGCGAGTATTGTCCGTCGGTCAGGAACGCAAGCAACGCTTCCGCGGCGTGGCCAATCAGTCCACCCACACTGCACAAAAAGCCCCTCGACGGTGTCCGTCGACACTTTAGGCGTGGCCATGCCTCACAGAACGTGCCACGGGCCGTGCTCCTCATGTGAACGCGCGGGGCGGTGTTTGGCAAGCAACGAGGCACCTCGGGCGAGGCGGCGTGCAACGCGTCCACCAAGGACGATGCGCGTCCTCCCTGCTTATCTGGGATGTTCGCTAATGGGGGCCATCAACGTGGGGGTGCGGAATTGTACACCTTTGATGCACTTTGGGGGGCCCGCGGCGGGAGTGTAGGGGCCACGTGGGGCCCTTTTACGGCCACCTTCCTGCAATCCTCGACCCCCCCCCGCGTTACGTAATTGCCCCGCGTTAGCCGTCCGCCCTCTAGCTTCCCCACGTCTCCTCCGCGTCCAGTCATCCCATGGTTCATCCCACGTGAACCTCATCCGCCCCATGACCCGTCTCCCTCTCCCTTTCGCCCGCTCTCATCGCCCCCCAAACCCTCTCCTCCTCCTCCTCCTCCTCCTCCTCCTCCTCCTCCTCCTCCTCCTCCTCCTCCTCCTCCTCCTCGTTCTCTCCTTCACAGCGCATGTAGATTGGAATCCAGATTACAGGTCCTTCGCAGTTGGAGACGTATGCCACCGACGGTCCGCGGCTGGAGCCCAGCCCAGGACCCTCCCCATGCTGCCGCCGCCGCTGCTCCCCCCTATAACTCCCACTCCCTCACCCTCCCTTCCCTGCGTGCTCCGCCCTCCCCATTCCATCATCCCCCTCCTGCCTCGGTTCCCCCCCCCCTCTCCCTCCACTTCGGTCGACCCCCCGGCTCTTTTTCAACTCTCGCTCCGCTGCCGTCTCTCCTCCTGCCCCCCCTCTCTCTCTCTCTCTTTCCTGCATCTGCCCGACCGCCTCCCTGCACACTCTGATTAACCCCTCCTCTTCCTCCTGCACCTCTCCATGTGGGCGCCGAAAAGACACGGAGGAGGCGGCGGCGGAGGCGGGGGCGGAGGAGTGGAGGAAGAGGAGGAACAGGAGAAGGGAGATTGTGGACCGCGTGAACGCAGTGACTGAAACAACTCGCCCCCATCAGAATCGGGGTCAGATTCTACATCCGACCCCCCTCGACGGGACGTCTCCCCGAGAACCTGCACTCTATCCAAGTCCGAGGGAAGGAGTCGGAAAGCCTCCAGGACAACTCGCTCGGATGCAAAACCAGGGGCCTCATGGGCCTCTCTGAGAGGGCAGCTCCCCGCACCTGGGGCCGCTCCCAACGACGTCGCCCGACGCAGAAGCGGCCTCTCTTCCGAACTCCACGGCTCCACACACAGGAGAAGGGAGGAGGCCGAGGAGGAGCAGCGGGACGAGGAGGAGGGAGGGAGGGAGGCAGGCAGGCAGGCAGGAGGAGACGGCGAGAGAAGCCCCCCCCCCCTCCGGGCCGGCCGCGCCGCCGCCGTCCTCTGCCCCCGAGGCCCGCCCGCCCCCCGAGGGGGGGGGGGGACGCCGCATGTGGGCCCAATCCCAACCCACTGGGCCCAATCCCAACCAACTGCGACCAATCCCAACCAGTGCGAAAAGCAAACTGGGCCCAATCCCAACCATCTTGGGATAGGCCCACAATAGGATTTTAATTGTAGAGAAGCCCAAGACGAGTGCGAAGACCAAGTGACATTCCTTATGTCAACGCACAGGATCTGGAAGCCAACATGCATGCTCGAGTTGGAATTGGTCTCAGTTTTGGTTTGCACACGAGCACTACGTTAAGATGAGCAAGAGGGCACCGAAGCGTAAACATCGATTCTAAAATATGCAAATGGATCTTCCTGGTACTAGTAGTAGAGGTAGTCGTAGTAGTCGTAGTGGTAGTAGTAGTAGTAGTAGTAGTAGTAGTAGTAGTAGTAGTAGTAGTAGTAGTAGTAGTAGTAGTAGTAGTAGTAGTAGTAGTAGTAGTAGTAGTAGTAGTAGTAGTAGTAGTAGTAGTAGTAGTAGTAGTAGTAGTAGTGGTAGTGTAGTGGTAGTGGTAGTAGTAGTAGTAGTAGTAGTAGTAGTAGTAGTAGTAGTAGTAGTAGTAGTAGTAGTAGTAGTAGTAGTAGTAGTAGTAGTAGTAGTAGTAGTAGTCGTAGTAGTAGTGGTAGTAGTAGTAGTAGTAGTAGTAGTAGTAGTAGTAGTAGTAGTAGTAGTAGTAGTAGTAGTAGTAGTAGTAGTAGTAGTGGTAGTAGTAGTGTAGTAGTGGTAGTAGTTGTCGTAGGTAGTAGTAGTAGTAGTAGTAATGTAGCCGTAGTCGTCGTAGTAGTAGTAATAGTAGTAGTAGTAGTAGTAGTAGTAGTAGTACTTCTAATAGTAATAGTAGTCGTAGTAGTAGTAGTAGTAGTAGTAGTAGTAGTAGTAGTCGTAGTCGTAGTAGTACTAGTAGTGGTGGTAGTAGTAGTAGTAGTAGCAGCAGTAGTAGTAGTAGTCGTCGTCGCAGTCGTAATAGTAGTAGTAGTAGTAGTAGTAGTAGCAGTAGTAGCAGTACTGGTAGTAGTACTACTCGTAGTAGTAGTAAAATAAATAGTAATAGTACTAGCAGCAGCAGCAGCAGCAGCAGCAGTAGTAGTAGCAGTAGTAGTAGTAGTAGAAGTAATAGTAGTAGTAGTAGTACTAGTAGTAGTAGTAGTAGTAGTAGTAGAAGCAGTAGTAGTAGTAGTAGTAGTAGTAGTAGTAGTAGTGGTGGTAGTAGTAGCCGCGGTAGAAATAGTCGTGGTCGTAGGCGGCGTGTAGTAGTCTGAATCGTGATAATGGTAGTGCTAGTAGTAGTAGTAGTAGTAGTAGTCGTAGTAGTAGTAGCAGTAGTAGTAGTTAGTAGTAGTAGTAGTAGTCGTAGTAGCAGTGTAGTAGTAGTCGTAGCGGTGTCGTAGTGTCAGTAGTAGTAGTAGTAGTAGTAGTAGTAGCAGTAGTAGTAGTAGTAGTAGTTAGTAGTGTAGTAGTAGTGGTAGTAGTAGTAGTAGTAGCGTACGGTCGTAGTACTGGTAGTAGGGTAGTAGCGGGTAGTAGTTAGCAGTAGTAGTAGTAGTAATAGTAGTAGTAGTTCGTAGTCGTAGTCGTAGTCGTAGTAGTAGTAGTAGTAGTAGTAGTAGTAGTCGTAGTAGAATGTGCAATACGATTGTTATTTGTAGTAGTAGTAACGGTAGTCGTAGTAGTAGTAGTAGTAGTAGTAGTAGTAGTAGTAGTAGGAGTATAAGTGGTAGTAGTAGTAGTAGTAGTAGTAGTAGTAGTAGCAGTACTAGTAGTAGTAGTAGTAGTAGTACTGGTGGTGGTAGTGGTGGTGGTAGTACTGGTGAGTGGTAGTAGTAGTAGTAGTAGTAGTACAAATACTAGGAGTAGTAGTAGGAGTAGTAGTAGTAGAGGTCGTAGTAGTAGTAGTAGTAGTAAGTAGTAGTAGTAGTAGTAGTAGTAGTAGTAGTAGTAGTAGTAGTAGTAGTAGTAGTAGTAGTAGTAGTAGTAGCAGTAGTAGTAGTAGTAGTAGTAGTAGTAGTAGCAGTAGCAGTAGTAGTAGTAGTACTAGTAGTAGTAGTAGTAGTAGTAGCACTCGTACTAGTACTAGTACTAATAGTAGTAGTGGTAGTAGTAGTAGTAGTAGTAATAATAGTCGAAATAGTAGTAGTAGGGAATTCCGAAGGAGGAATCCACAAGGAATTCCGAAGGAGGAATCCACAAGGAATCCCGAAGGATTCCGAAGGATTCCTGATGAATTCCAAAGGAAGCCGGAGGACTTCCGAAAGCACCCTAAGGAATTCCGAAGGAATCGTGAAGAATTCCGCAGGAATCCCAAGGAATTCCGAAGGAGTCTTGAAGAATCCTGAGGAATTCTGAAGATCCCATCCGTGGTTGGAATTGGTCTCATTTTTGGCTGAGTTGGAATTGGTCTCATTTGTGGTTGGAATTGGTCTCTTTTCTGGTTGCAATTCGCCCCGAACGGTTGGGATTGGTCCTAGTCGGTTGTAATTCGTACCACTTCGGGGGGGCGCCTCGTCCCAGCCGGCGTCGTCGCCCCACTCGTCCGCGCTGTCGCAGTCCTCGTCCTCCTCTCTCCAAGGGGGGCGCGCCGAAGGCCCAGACTCAGGAGGGAAAGAAACACACAAATAAATACACACAAATAAAAATGTTCCCCATATTTTCCGATATTTTCTGGGTTTCTGTCTTCCCCCCCTCTTCCCATATTTTCCCATATTTTCTGGGAATCGCCGATTAATTGTGTCTGTGTGTTTTTTCCCCTCCTGACATAGGGGGGAGGGCGTCCAAGAGGGGGGGGGGCGCAGATCGTGGCCCGCGGCACGTGCGCGGCCCACGGGGGGGGGGGCCGGGACACCTCTTGGAATCTCAGAAGGGGCGCCGTGAGATCCGGGAAGAGATCATGGCTCCCGCCACGGTATCCGCCCCCCTCCTCAGTCATCGCCCCCCTCTGTGCCGCTCCCGACCTCCGGCCATGGAAGCAACAGAACGGGACGTTCGCGATCTTCGGCCTCTGGTGGCCCCTACACGGCCTTGGCACCGTCACGTCATGACACGACTATGGATGAAACACCAGTCCCAGGGAATGAGTCGAGACCTCTTGGGGTCGATGCCATGAAATGGCATGACGTCGGGGGTCTGGGGAGGCTGCGGGGAGGCTGCCACGAAGGGGGGTTCAGGGTCGTGTGTGAGGACCAAAGAGGAACGGGTCTTGCTTGCTTGGAAATCCTTGGCCTCCCCCCGAAAACATGTGAAGCGCCCAGAAAACCTCGGCCATCGGCCCCTTTGACCAGCCCCCCCCCCCATTCCAAGAGGGCAGGGGGTCCGAGCCGGGGGGGCCCTGTCCAAAGGGGGTGGGTCGGACCGAACAGTTAACTAGCATCCGAATCGTGCTCGATCCATCTCGAATCGATACGTATTATATATGGATCCAACTCTACTTTAGGGCTCGATCCAGCCCTCATACGATCCTACTATATATCTATCTGGATCCAACTTGAATAGCATCCTGGTCGGGCTCGATCCAGCTCAGATATAATCCTACTCCAGCTGAATCCAGCTCTAAATGCATCTGTGAAGGGCTCGACCCATCTTAAACAGAATCCTGCGACACCTAGATCCAGCTCTGATTGCGATCCACTGGGGCTCAATCCAGCTCTCGTGAAACCCTTCCTGCCTTCTAGAGCTCGATCCAAATCCTACCAAGGCTCCATCGTCGTCCTCGTCACACGTCGGAGCCCGGCGCTCGCCGCCGTCGGCTGCCACTAGGGAGGGGGAGCGGCTCTGGTTCGACCGCCCCCCCCCTGCAGGTCAGGCCCCCCCCCCCGGGTTCGAGCCCCCTCCCGCCCCCTTGCATTTCAGGCCCCCCCCCGCTTCGAACACCCCCCCTCCCTTCCCAGCGTCCACAGAACGCGCTCTCCCAGACCACTGGGGCTCGGCATTATATATATATATATATATATATATATATGTATGTATACATATATATACATATATATATATAACGTTTGTATATATATATACACATGTATATGTATATATATATACATATATATATATATATATATATCAAAAAATGACGTCGGGAGCCTGGGCCAGCGCAGCATGGCTCGAGGCACGTGCGAGGACGAAACAGAAACGGGTCGTTTGCAAGATGGTGCAGCGAACTCACGCCGCGGCTTGCGCGGGCCGCCAGCTTGGCACAGCGCTTGAAGAAGCTTACGCGTGACCTTACGCCTGAGTGTCGGCGCACTCGACCCCGCCTTCTTCCGTCGCTCGTGTGCGCAGACACTGGGACCCCGACACAGTGCGATTCCACACCGTGCGGTGACGATGGACTCCCCAAAGACGTCAAGGCACGGTCCGCCACCACACGGTTTTGGGACCCGGGAGGTCGAAGGCGAAGATCCCGCGCGGACCTCAGACAATTCATGTTTCGGCGTTTTCTCGTCCTCGATGAGCGGCGGCTATCCGCTTATCGGGCCGGGCGAAAGGGGGGATAGCAAAGAATGGTTTGAGAAAATCATGTCACGAAGCTGATTTTCCCGGCGCCTCCCGGCGCCAGGAGGCGCCCATGTGTCGAGGAATGGGCCTGGCGACGTGGCAGGTTTCGTACCACCCCCCCTTTCCCCATAGCCCCCCCTTTCGTTCGGCCTGGGCTGCATGCAGCAGATCTCGTACCCCCCCCTTTCCCTATACCGATACCCCCCCCCTTCCGTTCGCCCCGGGCTCAGCAGTGCGGACCCCTTAAGTTGGGGGGCGGAAAGATACGGATACGTGTTGTCCCCGGACCTCTCTTGGGGTGCGTTCTGACCAGAATTTCGAGGCGAATCCAGCGGTGACAACGAGGATTCCCCAGGAGGACCAGGAAAGGTCGAAAACGAAGGGGGACAACACGTATCCGTATCTTTTTCTCCCCCGACTAAGGGCTCAAAGCCCGGCGCAGCCGGCACTCTGTAGAAGCAGACCGGACCGGACAGCGCCACGCGCCGCCTGGCGCGGGCGGACCCTGCAGGCCTGCATGCAGGCGGGGAGAGAGGCGCCCTCGGGGGGGGGGGGGGGCAGGCGCGGGGGCCCCCCCCCACACCGTGGGAGAGTGCGCGGAGGACACCTGCGAGGCAACCTGCTGGCATCCCCACACGCCCCACCGGTGCACGTCCACCAGCATCCGACGTCGCGAAGACACGAGGCATCGTGGGAAGCCACAGCAATAGAGCCCCAGGAGCCCGAAGCGAAAACCATCGGCACCCGCTCCAGCTCTTCAAAACCGCGGGAGGGGCCCCTTCACGGCGACCGGCTTCCCGCGGCTCCTGGGGGGCCAGCGCACGGCCTCCATCCGCGCGCGGAGAGCGGCGAAAAGAGGCCCTCCGCCTCCTCCTCCTCCTCCTCCTCCTCCTCCTCCTCCTCCTCAGGCCCTCCGCCTCATCCTCCCAAGACGCCTGGAGGGTCTGGGACCCTCGGCGGCGGCGGGAGCCGAGCGCCAATTGGCGGCCCTGCCCAGAAACCCGATGCTTTCGGTCGCCATCGGTAGCGACCGATCTGGTGGGCTTGTTTTCTTTCCACCACCACCACTATAAGTAGGAGGGGGAGGGGGTGGAGGCCCTCCGCCTCATCCTCCCAAGACGCCTGGAGGGTCTGGGACCCTCGGCGGCGGCGGGAGCCGAGCGCCAATTGGCGGCCCTGCCCAGAAACCCGATGCTTTCGGTCGCCATCGGTAGCGACCGATCTGGTGGGCTTGTTTTCTTTCCACCACCACCACTATAAGTAGGAGGGGGAGGGGGTGGTCCTCCTCCTCCTCCTCCTCCTTCTCCTCCTCCTCGTCCTTCGCCTCCTTCCCCCCTCCAACTTATGGTAGTGGTGGTGGAAAACAGGCCCATCACGATCAGCTCTCCGAATCGGTCGCGACCGATCGCGACCGCTTCCGAAAAGCTGGTCGCCGCGACCGCTTCTGGCATGCGAAGCAGAACTGGCAGCGGCCGGCCTCGTCGGCCGCGGCTGCGAAGTTCCGGCGTCCAATGATCAGGGCGAGGGGGGAGCGGAGGGCGGCGAACCCGGGAGCCAGGAACTGGGACCCCGAGAACCCAGGACCCCGGGACCCCGGGAACCCGGGTCCACCCAGCGTGCGACCAACATCGGCGGGAAACTTTCGCCGAATCCTTCAACCTCCGCGATGACCCCTTCAGTGCAAGCACTGCTTGGGGAATGATCCCTAGACATGGGACGTCCTGATTTTTTCAGGACGGCGTCACTGGAAGTCCCGACCCTTTTCCCGGGACCGGTTTTTCATCCCGAGTCGTTTTGCAACGGCACCGAGGCCCGGCGAGGGCCCCACGAGGCCGCAAACTGGCAAAAACCCTCCGTCCTGATATTTGTACGACGCGATCATGTCTGGGATTAAGTCGGGCCTGTCCCCCTACAGGCCGATTTTGGACGACAAATCAAAAATACAACAAAATACACTGAAAATGCTCACAAATGGTCAAACACATTGTCCCCAGACTATTTTTCTGATTATTTTTGAAGATTCCCCCTGTAGAGGGACGGGCCCGACTTACATCTGGGGAATGCTCAGGGTGAGGGGGGAACGGAGGGCGGCGAAAGGGGGGCGGCCAGCTCCGAGGGGCCGGCGTGGAGCCGAGACCCGCGCGGGCCCCGCCGGGGGGGGGGCGCCCGCGGCCGGGCGGCCCGCCCGCGGCGTCCTCGAGATCCGCCGCCCGCGCGAGGATCTCCGAGGGCGTCGGGGAGCCCTTGGCGGGGACCTGGGGGAGGCGCGCCCCCTCCCCCCCACCCCGCGGCCAGCACCTCCTCCTCCTCCGCCTCCTCCTCCTCCTCCGCCTCCTCCTCCGCCTCCTCCTCCTCCTCCTCCGCCTCCTCCTCCTCCTCCGCCTCCTCCTTCTTCTCCTCCTCCTCGCACCCTCAAGCGTTGCTTCAGGGGGGGGGCGGCGGTAAACGGGGAGGGGGGGAGAAAGGCGCAGCATACGTTCACCTTTCGGGGGCCCCCGGTCCCTCTTTTCCTGCAGTCCTGGGTCCCTCCCATGTAGCGCCCCCCGTCCCTTTACGCCCAGCTCGCACGTTCAGGTGCTCGCGCCACTCCTGTGCCGATGCTGCGTCGAGCGCTCGTCACCTCGAATCGGACTTGCGTCGAACTTGGAGCCGAGCTGGAGTCAAGTTAATCAAGTCAAGTCAAGTCAAGCGTGTATGCCCGCAAGGGGGCGGCTACTTAGTCAGGGCACAGGCGGGGAAACACCAAAACGTTGCAACCGGTGCAACAGAACAGAGCGAACTGAACATATATAGGGGGAAACAAATCTACCTCGCTTTTGACCACCCTCGCTTCCAAGAGATACCAAGCGATGCCAAACTACGGCCTGTACTGGTCAGGCCGCTTGACGAGGCGCGTGGTATGACTTGGTTTTGCCTGGAAGCGAAAGCGGGGTAGGTAATGCACGCTCTGAATGCCCCCTCAACACGAGCATCTAACCATGTGGGCGAGGCTGCCGGCCACGCCAACGGGGCATCCGCCCAGCGTGCCGCCCTGGCCCTCCGGCGGGCCCGCAAGAGGTGGAGCGGGACCGGCAGGGGTCCCCGCCAATCGCCACCGTCACCAGACATGCCCAGATCTTAGTGGGCCCTGGAAACGACAGGGCCGTTTTTTTGCCGGTTGCGTTTTGCCGTTTTTTTGCCGGTTCCGACGCCGTTTTTTCACAGGTTCCGTCGCCGTTTTTTGACCGGTTCCGGCTCCGGTTCCAATCCTGGAACAGTTTTTTTGCCGTTTTCGGACGCCGTTTTTTTGCCGTTTCCATTTTTAAGGGACACTTTTTGGGAAACGGTGAAAAAACGGCCCTGCCGTTTCCGGGGCATCCAGACCGCCTCTGGTTCTCGTGGAACAAACACGGCGGCAAGTTTTTGACAATTTTCAGCCTCTCGGGGCACTCACCGGGGCTCAAGACCGCCAACAAGAGGCCCGGGATGAGAAACTGGTCCCACGGAGGAGATCCAAGATGTGGCGCCATCCGAACCCTACCCCCGCAACCAGTGGATTCTTCTGAATCGATAGAAGGCCAGGGTAGGGTTCGGATTTCGCCACGTGTTCGACGAATTCCGAACCCTACCCCCGCCGCCCCTGAATCGTTGATCGGCGAGGGTAGGGTTCCGATTTCGCCGCCGATCCCGACCTCGATGGACCCACTTTGCGGAAAATTACGATGTCCGAAGTCTGGGTCAGACGTCGTGGATGTTTCCGCCACGTAGTTCCCCAAAGGTTACATGGACCCCTTCACAGGGACCAGTCTCTAATCCCGGGTCGTTTTATTGACGGTCCCGGGGTCCAGCGAGGCTTCCCATGGGGCGAAGATGACTAAAAACTGTCCGCAGTGATCTTGCACGACGCGAGGATGTCAGCGCCCCCTTCATGACCCCCTCCTCCCCCTCCTCCAGCCTCGTTCCTCCCTCTCGGATGCTGGTTCACAAGGGGCAACAAACGGGGCGTGAAGATACGTGCACCCTTTGCGCACACACTGGGGACGGCGGTGACAATCTGGAAGCCGTGTAGGGCCCCCTCGGCACCACTTTCCTGCAATCAATCCTCGACATGTCCGGTTCCGCTGCCCCCCCCAGCTTGCTGCCCGCCCCGCCCCACCTACCACCAGCTTCCCACGTCGCCACCGCAACCTGGGCGGGCATGTGGGCCCGCACGAGCCACAAACGACCGGCCGCCCGGGAACACCGCGGCCAGCCTCAGCCGCAAGGCATACACATCGCCCCAGCCGTCGCCAAAAAGCACCGCCCCACCCGCCCGACGACGCCCCTCGGGGCCACTCCCGAGAAGGGCCTCTCGAGGCCAGGCCCCGGGCCCCACCGGCCCCTCGGCAGCGCTGCTCGGGGCGAGGCACCGGCCTCGGGGAGGCGGCCCAGAGCCGGGGCGGACGAAAGTAGGGGGAAAACAAACCTACCTCGCTTTTGACCACCCTCGCTTCCAAGAGATACCAAAGGATGCCAAACGGCCAAACTACGGCATGAGGAGGCGCGTGGTATGACTTGGTTTTTGCCTGGAAGCGAAAGCGGGGTAGGGAATTCACGCTCTGAGAACGGGCGTGAAGGCAGAGGAGGGGAGCGTGCCGAATCGGCGCGCGCAGCCGTTCCCAGCGCCCCACGCCGCGGGAGGCGCCCGAGTGTCCAGGAGAGCGCCCGGGCGGCGGGGCCCGTGCACCCCGCCCCTCTCCGCCGATGTCGCGAGAAGGGAGGTCGGGGCGCCCACGGCTCGAGCAGAAAGCCGAGCCGCCGGGCTGCCCGCGGCGCCGCCCTCGAGGGTCATCTGGGCGCTCTTCCCCGGCGCGCGGGAAAGGTGCTGGGCGCGGCGCCGGAGGCACCACCAGGGGTGCGGGGAGGGGGTGCAGAGCTGACCCAAGACATCCACGCGGATCTCCTGTGTCGACGTCGCTTGCTGGGTCTCAGATGTCCTCTCCTCGCACGCGCACAATGACACCTAACTTTCACAGAATACGGCCGATTCAAGGCACGCCGTGTGCTATGGCGTAGACCTCTCCCATGGGGCTTTTACCTTCTCTGCCTTCCGCCGAGCTGCCATTTGCTTCCGCTGGCGCAGCCGCCAAAGTTTCCTGCTGCGGCCTCCGCGGTCCTTCTGCTGGCCTTCCGCCGAGGTCAATCAGGCAAGCTCTGCGACCGCTCGAAAACGAGGCCCGTCCTGGGACGGCCTACGTGCATCGTGCGTGACTGGGGCTGACCTGGAGGCACAAGACGCTGCCCAAGACGCCAACTCGGACAGGTCCGCTCGGACTGTGCTCCCCCCGACGGCGGGCGACTCTGGGGCGGAGCTGCAGGCGCCGCCAGGGGGCGTCCAGCGCCGACGCAAGAAAAGCCTGTGTGGACCTCCGGATGCTGACGTGGATCTTGGCAGGATGCTGACGTGGATCTTGGCAGGCGCGTGACTGGGGCTGATCTGGAGGAACACGACGCTGCCCAAGACGCCAACTCGGACAGGTCCGCGCGGACTGCGCTCCCCCCCCGACGGCGGGCGACCCTGGGGGCGGAGCTGCAGGCGCCGCCGGGGGGGCGTCCAGGGCCGACCCGAGAGAAGCATGGCCTGTGTGGACCTCCGGATGCCGACGCGGATCTCGGCAGGGGCTGCTTGCTCATGGGGGCTTCATGCGAACCCTACACCCTGCGAAATGCTTAAGAAATCATGGGTTAAGAAATTCAGAGTCTCTGAACTTGAATAAAAAACCAAAATTTCTATTCAAATCTTAGGATTTACCTTGAAACGTTAAGAATAATCGAGACTCTGGCCGAGCATTTAAGCTTTCTTAAGCATCGCCTAAGGTGTACCCCTGCCCCCCACGATTTCTGAGGCGGAGGGTGGGGTTCACTTCACTCGGGAGCTCCCGAACGAAGTGAACCCCACCCTCCCCCTCAGGAATCGTCGGGGGTAGGGGTAGGGTTCGCATGAGGCCCCCTATGCTCAGGCGCCACACGCACACAAGTTTTCGCAAGGGCGAGGCGAAGGACTCAGGCGCCACGCGGGGCGAAGAGAACGGCAGGGGTGCGCAGCGGGCGCCCGACCATGGAGTAGTCCTTGTCGAAGTCGAAAAGGCGAGGGTGCATGCCTGGGAGGAGCGTACCCCTACAGAACAACAGCCGACTGTGCAAGCATGTCACTGCTAGGCTTCCTGGCATCAGCGACTGGCGTGCCATCTCGTGACAAGGAGGGGGTCAACCAAATCAAACACGCCCGACCCCAAACCAAAGCCCACTGGACGACCGCGCAAAAACACCAGACAAGCGGAGGAGGAGGAGGAGGAGGAGGAGGAGGAGGAGGAAGGAGGACAGTAGGAGAGGAGGAGGAGGAGGAGGAGGAGGGATAGGGAGGAGGAGGAGGAGGAGGAGAGGGGAACGGGAGGAGAAACGGGGGTTGGTGGAGGACGGGCACCAGACGACAGGGAGAAACGCGGAGAGGGAGAAGGGAAGAGGGAGACAGAGAGAGAGGAGAAGCGAGAGGGAGACCTCCTCCTCCTCCTCCTCCTCCTCCTCCTCCTCCTCCTCCTCCTCCTCCTCAGAGAAAGAGAGAAGCGAGAGGGAGAGCGAGAGAGAGAGCGCGCGACAGAGAGAGAGAGAGAAGCAAGAAAACAGAGAGAGAGAGGGAGAGAGAGAGAAGCATGCAGAGGAATACACACATGCCTACGTACAGATTTTCGTGCGTACATCGAGAGAGAGAGAGAGAGACACGACAACAACAGCAAACAAACACGGGAGAGACAGAGAGAGAGAGAGAGATGGCGAGAGCGAGAGCGAGGCAACACGTCCGACATACGTATTCCACCACCTGCGCCTGCGCTGAAGGGACCCTTCGCCGGGTGCCTGGCACCGCCGGGCGCTCCTGCCGAAGCAGCTCCCCCGCGACTCCGTGCCCCGCGCCCGCCCCTTTTTTACCAGCCTGGAACATATCCCTATCCCTATGCTGGGCACCTCCTCATCACGATGCCAGTCCTAGGGGTCCCCTTATTTTCTGAGGGCGGATCCCTGAGATTGTCATCGCCTTTTGGCGTCTCGATCTTAGGGCTAGGGACACGTTCGAGGCTGGTAACCTCTGCGCGCTTCGCGGGCGCCCCGGTGCCCCCGGGGCGAGTCCGCCAGACCATGGTCGCCTCGGCGGCGCCCCGCGGTGCGCACCCGCGCGGGGGCGCCACGTGTCGGCGCCGATCGGTGGGCGCCCCGTGCGCGGGGGGGCGGGGGCCCCTTCTCCCCCTCCCTCTCTTCCTTCTCGAGCCTCCTAGCCCCCTCTCCCTCCTCCCTTCTCCTCCTCCTCCGCCGATCCTTCGAACACTCGAGGCTCCGCCTCCTCCAACTCCCTCCACATCCTCGGAGAGCTGCGCACAGGGCACGCAGCGCACGCCACACGGCGGAGCTGCACAGCTGTGCCGTCGCTCGGGCGTCCATTCCCCTGTGCACTTGTCGGCATCGTGCGCGTACTTTTTTTCGCCAGGTGGCCCAAGAGGCTCCTCGAGGCTCCTCGCCGAGAAGAGGAGCACACGTCCGAGCGATGCCGAGGCCTGCACGACGACGCTCACGCCACACGGGCCACACCGCACGGCTGGGGCAACCTAGCTCGCACCACATATAGCTTGTGTACAAGCTCGATCTGGCAGCCCAAGTCATAACGTACACAACATGCAACATCCATCACACGGCGTACTCCACTCAGCTTCCACCTCCACCGGGCAATAACTCCATGTATTGGTACAGGTGCAACGTCTGTGTAAATATGTTTGTGTGCTAGCCAACGTGTACCCCACGCGTTGCGTTAACGCACTGTGTCGTGTAAGCTATGTGGCGTGAGCTATGAAAATTAACACTTTGCGGTATACATTATGTGCTGTAAACTGTTCTGTGTACGCTAGGCGGTGAGAGCTGAACATGAAACACGTATGGTAACCTATGCTCTGGAGTATCTGCCGTGCAAGATGGTGCAACATATGTGGTGAACACCATGTGGTTAAAACTGTGTCGTGTAAGCTCACAGCACGGGATGCCCACGCGGCGCCAACGAGGCGGTTCGGGCGGCAACGTGGCACAACCTCGTGAAGCCCACCCAGTGCAGAGGGGCGGCACCAGCGGCAAAGCGGCGCAACCTTGGGACACCCACCCAGCGCACGGGGCGCCCACGAGGCGCCCACGAGGCTGCACGGGCGGCCACGCGGCGCAGCCTCGGCCCCGGAGGCTCCCAAGACGGCTCCAAGACGGTGCCGAGGCGACGAACCGAAACGGACATGTGGAGCCCTCCGCCCCCAGTGCTCCCAGGAGCAACCAAGAGGCCCCCAAAAAGCCCTGAAGAGACCCCAAGATGCTCCCGAGAAGCCCCCGGGAAGCCCCAACAGGCCCCCAAGAGGCTCCCAAGAGACCCCTACACTGTCCCCCGAGGCCCCCAAGAGCGTTTCGACCAGACCCCAAGAAGCATCCCAGAGGACTCTGACCCACGTCAACGTCGTCGTCGTCGGCAGCCCGCTGGTGTATACGCAATAAAATGGTCACGAGAGGGGGTCCACCAACCGACATCTCGAGCCTTCCGCCCCAAGAGGCCCCCAGGAGGCCCTACGAGGCGCCCCAGACACCACCAAGAGGCCCCCCAGAGGCCACCCAGAGGCCCAAGAGAGTCCCAGGAGCATTCCCAAGACAATCCCAACTGGGCAAAATCAAAGATTCTCCTTGGTTTTTTGAAATATGTTCATGGTCGCTGTTTTCGTTTCCGTCCCCTTTCAGGGTCGGCGGCACCGGCCGTGAGGCCTTCGCAATAAAACCGGAGGGATGAGAAAGTGTGGGGTCCAAGTGCGATGGTAAACGTTTTCCTGGCAGGTCGCAGCGTAAAGGACGTTGATGAGGATGATGAGGATGTTGATGTTGATGTTGATGTTAAGGTTGATGTGTATGGTGTTGTTGATGTTGATGTTGATGTTGATGTTGATGTTGATGATGATGATGATGATGATGATGATGATGATGATGATGATGATGATGATGATGATGAGTTCGAGATCCTTGGCCCGGGCTATAGAGATCCTTGCCACGTCCTCTTGAGATCCTGAAGCTGGCCCATGCTCTTGAGATCTGGACGTTCCTGACTCGCGAAGGGCTGAGAAAGTGAGAACCCCATAGCCCTGTCACACGTTCGTGACTTGGGAAAGGTGGACAGATGATAATCCCACAGCCCACAACCGTGCCACACGTTCGTGACTTGCGAAAGCTGAAATGGTGGGATCCGCATTGCCATGCCACACGTTGATGAGGTGTACCTAGGCAACATGAGAAGATCGCAACTTCGATTCGCAACTCTCCCCCGCGATAATAAAATTCGGCCTTGCCGACCCTCTCCCCCGACCAAATCTGCATTGGCCGGGGATGATAAACTCTCAATGGTGAAGCGGGGTACTCTTTATCCAGGGGGTGGGGTTAATATTCATATTGAGTGGTTGTAGAAGCGGTTTTGAATGGGAATGGTGAACGGCCTGGCGGCAAGCGAGGAACATGTTAAGCACGGTTGGTGCAATCCATTGTCTTGCCAAGTGCGCATGGACGCTAGTCGAAGCAACGTAAACGAAGACACAGGAATGTAGGACAATAGTAGAGAGGAATCGAGGGCAACAAACGAAACTGGAATCGGCGCCGTAGATCTCCCGATACGGCGTCACCTCGAACACCTCGTGCGCCTGCATGGCTCAACATCCGAAATCGTGTGACTTTCGCAGAATGGCCCCTGCCGCCGCCCTTCCAGCTCAAACAGCAAGGAGAAAACATGCAGAGCAAGGGAGCTTGGCGACCTGCTGCGAAAACACATGCGGGCCACTGCGCACAGGGTGGAAGAGGAAACGCTCACGGCACGACCCTGTGCGCACGTGACTGTCCTCGCAATCGGCGGCCCCACCTCCCAATCTGAGGGACCAAGGTACACACACATAAATTAAAGCGAATCCCAGGATTCCCCATGTGTTCTGGATGTTCATGTCCCCCTCCACTTCCCATATGTTCCACATTTTCTGGAGAATCGAAGATTACTTTGATGTGATCCTGTCCCTCATGAACGTGTCCAGTGCGGACCGTCCTTGCTGGCTCCCCTCTCTCCTTGCCGAGAGGCGGGGAACGGGGGAGGGGGCGGACCGACAGCGGGGAGGAAGGAGGGCGGAAGACGCGCCCCCCTCTAGAGCATCCTTCTCCACCCCTCCTCCGTTCTCCCCTGGCTCCTGCTGGGAGAGAGGGTGAGGGACCTCCCCCGTGTCTCCAAGACCGCGCGAAACTGCTCGTCCCCCCTCTCGTTCCGGCCCCTCTCCCCGGACAGGAGGACGGTGTGGGAGACAGCTTCAGGCCCGTGCGTACGATTCGCTCGTGGGGGCGATCGCACCCCCGGGCCAATCCACGGGCCGAGCAGGCGGCCGCAGCGGCGGGAGAGACACAAGGCACCTTGTACTTCCCCGGCCATCGCAGGAAGGAAACGGGCGAGGGTGGGGGGGGCGAGAACATTGTTACCAGAGCGTTCTGAGCGGCTCGTCCTCCTTCTCACCCTTTTCCTCCTCCTCGTCCTCCTCCTCCTCGTGTCGGCCACCCCTGCATACCCCTGCACCCCCCCCCTCAATCCATCCGGCCATCCGTCTTTCCGCCCTCCGCGATGACAGCTTAAGAATTTTCCAGACACGCCAGCCGCGCGAATCAAAGCAGAATGCTGTTCGAGCTCCGGCAAGCCCGAGTGGGGCGCCAACCGAACGAATTCGCAGCGCAGCGACGCTGGCGATCCGAGCTGGCACCTGGCCGCCAGAAGGAGGCCGACGGGCGCGACGCGATCGGCGCCGCTTCAGCGGGGGGCAACTGCTGGGCTACACCCTGCGAAATGCTTAAGAAACCATGGGTTAAGAAATTCATAGTCTCAGAACTTGAATAAAAACCTAAAATTTCCATTAAAATCTTAGGAGTTACATTGAAACATTAAGAATAATCGAGACTCTGGCCGAAATTGTAAGTTTTCTTAAGCATCGCCTAAGGTGTACAGCGGGGTGTTTGGGCCAGAGGCCGCAGACAGGAGAGAGGAGAGGGAGGAGGCGGGAGGGAGGGAAGGCAGATCTCCCGCCGCCGATGCCGCATGCGAAGTGCCTGGGAAACGGTGGGCGCACAAAAACGGGCCCGTCGAGCGAGAAAACTACGGCTAGAAGGCAGGAGGACGAAACCGACGCAACCTCGAGCCACAAGCGGCGCACGCGCGCGAGCCCAATGCTTCGGGGAAGCGCGCACTGCTGGGCTCACACACACACACAAGATCGCTTGCCTCTTGACACAGGGCGCGAATTCGCATGCGTAGCGCTCACAAATTCACTGTGCTGCACTCTGCAGGTTTGCTGCCGCTCGGACGCGGCGCGTGGTTTGTACTCGTTCTGCTCATCCATGGCTCGGTCCCGCGCCTTGCCCCTGGCGCACGCGATCAAGAAGACTTGCCCACTTTCATCCTTCGCGATGACGCCCGTGACTAGCCCTGCCCCCCACCCCCCTCCACCTGGTCACGTCGCGATTCGCGCCAGCGCCGTCTTGGAATTGGGCATTCCTGAGCATTCCAAGACGGCGCCGGCGCAAATTGAGAAGCTACCAGCCCCCTCCCCCCCCTTCCCCCCTGTCACGCCCGCTATCGCAAGGGGATGAAAAAATGGCTCCAAACGATTCCCTGTCCATCGAATACGGGGGACGTCTGATATTGGCCACAGGCTGGCATGGCTTCGTGCCTCCCTCTATCTCGCCTCCCACCTCCCCCCTCCTCATTCTTCCCTCGTTCCGCATCCCTCCGTCCTCCCACCGCAATGCCTCCTTCCTTGATGCACTTCCGCCCGCTACCATCCTCCCGCCCATAGATTCGGGTCGGGCGAAAGGGGGGGATAGCAAAGGGGGGGTTTGAGAATCAGCTCACGTAGCTGATTTTCCCGGCGCCTCCTGGCGCCGGAGGCGGCCATGTATCGAGGAATGGGCCCCTCGGTGAGGCCGAAATCAGCTGCATGCAGCAAATTTCGTACCCCCCCCTTTCCCAATCCCCCCCTTTCGCCCGACCCGATAGATGCTCCCTCCTCCCTCAGCTTTCCTTCGCCATCCCTCATCCATCCTGCCTCCTCCTCCCCCGACCCTTCCTCCCTCCACCCTCCCCCTCCCTTCCTCCCTCTCGACCTCTGCCTTGTCCCCTTCCCCGTCGCTCCCCCGCACTCCCGGCGTCGTGATCAGCCCCACCCGTCCTCCAGGCGGCAGGCGGGGCAACGAGACTGGAGGGCGCCACTCTCGAGCCTCGGGCAACTGATCTGGACCCCGCGACTCGGGATGGGAAGCCGCCCCTCGGAAGAAGGGGGTGAGAGGCCCGCGCGGGGCCTGCGCCGTGCAGACAGGGGAAATCCGAGCTCGGGGATCTTCTGACCCGGGTCAATCCAGACCAGGGTCAGCAGGAAACCAACAACTGCAATGCAGGGGACAAAACTGCGACGCAGGTCTTCGCAAACCCGGGTCAGCCACCAGGCGCGGCCGCCTCGCGGCCACGAGCGGCTCGCTGACCCGGGTCAGCCAGAGAGGGTCTTCGCAGGATCCTCTAGGATCTGGCGCCCTGGCTGACCCCCGTTTGCTAGGGCTCCCAACTTCGCGCTTCGCGCTGCGCGAAGCGCGAAGCGCGAATAACTTCGCGCTCTCGCGCCGCCCTCCCAAAGGGAGAAAAGGAGGACGAGGAGGAGGGGGAGAAGGAACGAGGACCGCGAAGCGCGAATAACTTCGCGCCCTCGAGGGAGCCCTTGGTTTGCACTGACCCCCATCTCGAGGCTCCCGACGAGCCGCCGGACGGGTCGGCCCCGCCCGGCCGCGCAGAGGCGCGGGGGCGCGCCGGAGCCGGGCGCTCGCGCGCCGGGGGAGGGGGCTGCCGCGCGGGCGCCACCTCGCCGAAGTGCGCCCGCCGACCACCCGCCCGCCGCTGCCGTCGTTTGCCGTCGTCGTTTGCCGTCGTCGTCGACGTTCGCCGTCGTCGTTTGCCGTCGTCCTTCGCCGTCGTCGTTCGCCGTCGTCGTTTGCCGTCGCCGTCGCCGTCGCCGCCGTCGTCGCCGTCGTCGTCGTCGTCGTCGCCGTCGTCGTCGCCGTCGTCGTCGCCGTCGTCGCCGTCGTTGTCGTCGTCGTCGGGGGGCTGCCGCGCGGGCACCTCCTCGTCGAAGTGCACCCGCCTCGCCTGCCAGTGGAGCCCGCCCGGCGGGGGCGAGCCGGGAGGCGCAGGCCCCCCGCATCTCGCCATGACGGCAACGTGGCCCGAGGTCTGTCGCCGTTCTCGTGCGCCCGGGGCCCTCCACGGGCCCCGGGGCCGTCAGACAACGACTCAGGACGAGGAGCTGGTCCCGAGGGAAGGCCCCAGGGCCCAGGACGAGACCGCCCACGACTCGCCACTCTCCCCTGAGTTAGGTTGCTCCCATCGCACTTAAGCTTAAGGACCACATCCCAGAGGTAATTTCGAGCACCCGGAGAAGTGTCGAAAGAGTGTCGACACAGTGTCGGGCGAGTGTCTCCCAGGGCCCGGCACGCGCAAACCCTGGAGTTTCGGTACTTTCTTGGTGCTCGAAATTCGTTCTGGCGATCAAGGCTCAAGTAGGTTGGAATATTATAACCTCCGAGGGAGGCGCTCCACAGGCACCGCGGGCGCAGGCCGAAGCGCCAGCAGGCTTGCCTTCTCGCCATGCCCGCAAGTGCGGCGGCTCGAGACTCGGGGCGCACCGATCTCGGCCAGGCCCAGGGCCCCGCAGAGAGGCCCCGAACCCTCGCGCACCCCCGCGGCGCCCTCTCCCCTCGGACTATTCCTCCTCCTCCTCCTCCTCCTCCTCCACCTCCTCCTCCTGCTCCTGCTCCTCCTCCACCTCCTCCTCCTGCTCCTGCTCCTCCTCCTCCCCCTCCTCCTCCCCCTCCTCCTCCTCCTCCTCCTCCTCCTCCTCCTCCTCCTCCTCCTCCTCCTCCTCCCCCTCCTCCTCCCCCAGAGCCCCTCAGGACCCGCTTCCCTCGTGCCAGGACGAAGCTCGGATCGGTCGAGAAAAGGCGGCGAGCGCAGGGGTCGGACGCGAGAGGCAGGTCCAGGGCCCGCCGGTCTCGGGCGGCGCGGGCCCCCGAGATCCTGGCGCTGCAGCTGCTCCGAGCCGGGCGGCGTCGCACAGCGTCGGGTCCCAGGGCCCTCAGGGGCTGATTTGGCTCAAAGAGTGGCGCGGGAAGATGGGATCCTTGACCCTGGCGGTGATTTGTTGCAACGGCAGATCTGAGGGGCCCCGCGGTTGGCTGCGCTCGTTGTGCCGCTTGCGCGGAACATCCTCACAATCGGGTTTCGAAACCTTCTGGCCAAGCCTCAGTGGGAGGAGGGGGGCCAGGTGGGGGTGGTAGATGAACAGCAAAACGGCATACAGTAGGAGCTCGACCACAAGAAACCCACCCCTGAACCCCCCGGAGGTCCATTGATCTTTGGTGTGGGAACGTCACGCTTTCCATTGCAAAATCATCGAAACCCAAGAAACCCAGGGCACCCTGGAGGCAAGACGGGTGTTTCTTGGCATGGGTATCCACTGTACGTGTCTTTTCTCGGAGGTCCGCGCTGATTTCTTGGATCGGCGGACCCTCCTCCCTGGCGCGCGAAGCAGGCTAGGGGCGGCACCGGAGGCGCCGTCAGCAGGGGCCCAACGCCGATCACAA